GCTTGTTGTTCAGAATTGAATGGAGTATCCCCAGTTGCCATCTCATAAGCAACAATACCAACAGACCACAGATCACATTGAGGTCCATAACCTTCCATTGATTTTGAATTTGACTGCATAAACTACGAGCAAATAAAGTAAAGTACATAGGTAATATATACAAATATTAAAAACGTATAATRTTATCTTTCCAATTCTTTCTTGAAAACTAACATTAATGCAATACATTTAATTTCTCTGTATCTATATTAGCAAAGAATTATTTGAGTTTAAAAAATGATATTTAAATCTAACATTTATAAAATAATTTAATATAAAAAAATTGTATTATATTATTTAAAGAAACATTTACTTGTAGGACTTCTGGTGCTAAATACTCTGAAGTACCAACAGGCATGCGAGCACATATTTTTCCATCACGGTTAAGTTTTGCTGAAGAACCAAAATCAACTAATTTCAAATGTCCAACACGATCTAACATCATATTTTCAGGTTTAATGTCACGATGAGCAAAGCCCATTGTGTGCAGATGTTTAACAGCCAACAACAGTTCTGCGATATAAAATCTATAAGATAAATAATCAATAATGAGCACACACATTAATAATAAAATACTCTAATCAATACGACAATTACTTTGCTGTTTCCTCTGGTAATGTACCATTAAACTTATCAATTAAATTTGCAAAATCTCCACCCGGGTGATAGTCCATAACTAGGTAAAGATTTTGAAAGTCTTGAAAAGCATAATGCAATTGTGTTAAAAATGGAGAACTTGATGATGCCATAATATCTCTTTCATATTCATAAAAAGCGATCTGAAATAACAAAAAATTGATGTTTAATCATATTATAGTTGAATCACTATTCAGTATTCAGAAATAGTTATTTTCATTACGTCTCTGTGATTAAGTAAATTATCCTTTTTCAACACTTTCATAGCAAAAATATCCTTGGTATGTTTCTCTATTACTAATTCTACGTCTCCGAAATGTCCTTTGCCGATCACTTGTTTGGATTCAAAATCTAAACGGTTGACTCTGAGGGATTTTAACTCTGGTATGGCCATTTTAACTGAAAACGAAAAATCATGTCAATCAACAGACTCACAAACACATCGGACAAGGGCAATCGCTCGATTATGCAACGAGGTAGGTACATAGTACGCTTTCTCGTTTGCGACGACCGGCGCTTACATTTGTTTACGAAATTCGAGATCAGCGGATCGCTCTTCATGAAATCGTTGTTACATTCGTCAAACAGCAATATCATAGCGTCGAACAGCAGTTCTTTGTTCAGAGCCGTCGAGGCCATAATTGTCGGACCACTGAGCACTTCGCCAATGCGCATTGATCGCACCGATATCGATTCGGTTGCCGGTTCCATCGCGAAATGGTCGTCGGCCTCATAGAGTTGTAGTAAAGGGCTTACAGACTACAGACGTCAGACAGTCGTAGTTTCACGCTTAACAACACTACTCGCACCACCACTTTAAAATAACCAATGCCTAGTCGGGAACTCTGGAACCACAAACGCAAATCACTAATAACACAATATCTATATAACTGAAATCACTGAACAGTGGAATACCAGAATCTGAATAACGAATAACGACATATTTTCAATTTGCAGCTGGTCAAAAAAAAACCGTTGTGGCGGTTCATGGAATGAACACTAAACATTAAACGCATGACCAAACGACCACAACGCTATCTACTGGTTAATGAACAACAACACTCAATAATCCTACAATTTTTTACCACAGTGTTATTATTTTCTTATGWTCRTGATTTCGAGTGGTTCGTTTATCGTGTGAAATTATAAATTGTAAATCACAATAAATTTACGACCACTTTATTAAGAAAAATGTCCACCTTTTAAACAATTAAAATAATACAATGCAGGCGTAATTGGCGTATATATGATTAAATATTGTCAGTTACAGCCTAAAAGGCCCCAAATATAGCATAGAAGGCCTAAAAGGCCCACATCATATTTTTGGCCCATGTACAGTATTAATTCGGGCCCCAATTAAATAGGTAACAATTAATTTTGAAACATTTTTCTAATATACAGGGTGTCCCAAAGAGATCTGACATTCTGACAAATGAAATAACTTTTGTTCTAATCAATAATATTTTTTAAAAATTTCTTTTAAATATAATCCATAGGCACTACATTTTTAGAATACATTTTTTATTTTTGAATACTGAAAATAAAAAACTTAAAAATTGATAAATTTTTTTTCGAAATATTCAATATAGCCAATTTGTTAATTTGATTTTCAGAAAAATTTATATAGTAAAAAACACTCATTTAAGTCAAAAGGCTGATTTTTTACAATTTTTTTAAATATCAATATTTTCGTTAGGTAAATTATAGTAATTTATAGTTTATAAATCACATATTATTAAAATAAATACAATAAAAAAAATAT